GTGCGTGTCTAGTAGAGTGCTGTATGAATGTGTGCGTGTCTAGTAGACACACACACATTCTGTTGTTTTGTCATGGTGGTCTCTCGTCTTATCTTCTTCTCTTTTATTATTTATTTATTCTTCTTTCTTCTCTTTCTTTAAAAAATAAAATAAAAATTGAGCGATGATGATAAGTTCATTGAAACACTTCACAATGTTTCTACACTTAAACTGAGCTCACAAAAAAAAAAAGAATGCTGTATGAATGTGTGTGTGTCTAGTAGAGTGCTGTATGAATGTGTGTGTGTCTAGTAGAGTGCTGTATGAATGTGTGTGTGGAGGTAAATGAGGGCACAGATTGTGTTGTAAGGCGTCCACCACCGGGTTCTTTTTTTAGCATGAGTGGACATTTCTGAGGGCTGACAGTCTTGAGACCTGCTCGTCGTGACAATTCAATCACGCGCATTTGCACATCTTAAATTACGTATTGCATAATTTTGTACGTGAATAAAAAAACTTCAAAATAAAAGCAATGCAGCTTTAGTCCACACATACGATAAATTTAGAAAATGTGTTTATTTTGTAATTCCCCTTACACGGGCTGGTCAGGGTCAACCAAATGGTGCATGTGGCTCGCCCAGGTCAGCACTGTGACTTATTTAAAGCAAATATAATTCTGCCATCCTGACTTACTAAATCTTTATACTTTTCAAAATCAAATAAATAATGTTGACTTTGTTTGATGTTCTCTGATTAACTGGCATGTTTCTGTTCCAGGTGGGTCCATTAAGAACCAGTTGTCATTTACAATAAAATGGCTGCACAGACCAGTTCTTCCTCAAACGGTTCATAAATCACAGGTGAAGTGTTCACGTCCGCTCAGGTGAACCAGAAGAGAGGTCTACTTTATTCAAACTGTTCTGGAGTAGGACCCCCCAGACCCCCCCACTTACACACTTTACAAATGCTGATATTATCGGCACTTTTATTCAAATGACAATTTGCAAAGGCCTGTTGTGCAAGGGTCAGGCCCACATGAAGGACACCTTCAACAACTCGAGTTATGTCAGTGATGTTTGTGAATGGAAGTTGTCTACAGGGTTTGATCCTCACTGGGGGCTAAGCGCCCCTAAAGGTCAGATCCTAGAATCGCCCCTGGGTCTCACTCATCTTTGAATTATTGAACCCTTGGCCCCCCAGGTGAGGAGCCTGCTTCGGGGGTCTCACCTGTTACGTAGCTGACGTCTCCATTGTTGTGCGCGACATGTGGACGTCACCGTCAGCCTCGGGGGGAACAGCAGCGCGCGAGCTGCTGTCCTGCGGAGACACCGTTGCCATGGCAACCGCCACTTGTGCGACCCCCGGCTGCTGCGCCCGGCCGGCGGGGGGCCCTCCGTTCCTGCGGAACGAGTTCCTGAAGCCGTGCGTCAGGCGGCTGGAGAGGCGTCGCACCGTCCCGCCCAGGCCGCTCCCCCCCCCCGGACTTGGCCTTCTTCAGCAGCCCCACGTCGTCCTGCAGCTCGGCCGGGGGCACCTCGATGTTCCCGGAGTACCAGAACACCCACCAGATGAGGCTGAGGAAGATGACGATGGAGCCCGCGTAGATGAGCAGGTCGTAGAAGAACACGTTGGCGAACACCCCCACGAGGAGCACCACGAGCCCCGCGATGTCAAAGGCCACGGCGAGCCAGAAGCTGCACGCGCAGCGGCCCAGACCCCGGAACTCCGGCTCCATGCTGCAGTTCCGGACGGAGAGGCTGCAAGGTGAGCCAGGTGAGCGCTCCCTCAGGGGTCACCCTGCGGGAGGGGCGGGGAGAGGCGGGGCGGATCACCTGAGTGCAGCCGCCCAGCTGCTGTGGATCAGAACTTTTGCACACTTTTTGCTCAGGTTACATGAAGCAGTTGGACCTTTTGCTGGAGACTGTGTCTGTGAGCAAATATCTCATGAACCACTCCACATACTTTCATCAAAATGATCGAAATTAATTTCTGGATGTACAACTGTTGGTCTTATCCCATACAAGATGGCCGCCACAGCTAATCAACATTACCCCACAAAAGATGGCTCCAACTCCGGCAAAAAACTGATTAGGGTTAAAAACAAGTGATAAAATGTAAATAAGAGAAAAACTAACAATTTATACTTTAAAAATGAATTCACAAATGAAAAAGAACAAAACAATCGAGAAATTATAATTTCCTTTTTCAGTATCCCACATGTATTTATTTATTTATTTATTTATTATCTTTATTGAAAAAGTATAAAACAATACAATAAAATGCAGTATGTAGTAATGATATAACCAACACCAGGGGGTTACAAACACTGAGATCACACATGCATTTATGGAAGATTTTAAATGAGTTTCATGTGCCTGTCAGTGCTGTAACATTAAAATGTTTAACTTTTATCTATTAATGTAAAATCTCTGACATCTTCCAACACTGTTGTTTAGAATAACATTTTAAATATTGAATTAAAAACTATATGTCAAACCATTTCCATGTTCTCATGATTAATAATTTCTCTTTTTACTTTCTTCTTGTGTCCATCTTTCTCAGCAGCAGCAACTCAGCAAGGAGGACACCCTGAAGACCCAGAAGACCCTGAAGACCCTGAAGACCCAGAAGACCCTGAAGACCCAGGCTTGTCTGAGGATTTTAGCAGAAAGGGCCATGACAAGGGTGAAGGAGTACCAGCAGGGCCAGATTAACACTTCGCTGTACCCTGGACAACAATCTTCAAGGGCCCCATTATCACGACCCCATCACCATAATCTGTCAAAATACAGAATAAATTACCATAATATACAGTAAATATACTTCAAATTCTAACTATCAAGAGTATTTTTATGTATAAAACTCCAAATGCTCAATGACACAAATCATCAAGACTGAATTAAGTTGAATGCACTTTGAACACCACATGACACCACAGGTGTACTGGTTTAGTAACATGTTGGCCACTGGTGTCAGAAGCATTTATAATGTGTGTGTGTGTGTGGGGGGGGGGGACATACTGATGGGGGTGTCTGAAAATTTTGAATAAAGTAGATGCCATTTCCTGCATTCTGGTGTATTTTAATGGTTTTTCAACATCTAGTTTTACCTACATAATTAAACACTGGGAACGCCTTGGGATTCCCCTGGAGGAGCTGGTCCAAGTGGCTGAGGAGAGGGAAGTCTGGACCTCCCTACTTAGGCTGCTACCCCCACGGATGGATGGAAGTAAACACTTGATTCAGTAAATATTTTAGAGCTAATAGCACAACAAGAAGTAGCCTGACCAACAGCTGATTCAATGAATTAAAAATATTATATATTCAAAGGTGACAATTTGATACCCACATTAAAATTAAATGTCTGTAACTTAGTTGACTTCAAATGTAACAAGATGATCAATGAATGTTTGTGACAAAGGATTTACTGATTATAACAAAGATTCCTTCAAGAAACCTCCCAATATAAATCATAAAACCAGAATGATTTCTGCTCATTCTAAATGTGTCAAATGGCCTAAATCTCCTAAAGTGAAGGAGAATCATTTAAAAATAATAAATAAGATATATCCTGTAGCCATGTTTCTGCAAAGAAGATTTAAATTTGATGTTAATTTGTTGCCCTTTGTAAATCACAAGATGAATCCCTCCAGCATTTTTTATTTCATGTCAATACAAAGTGTTTGGTCAAACATCAGAAACTGGATTAATCTCAAACTTAACATTCCTTCTTTTCATGCTGATGCCATTTTACTTTATGTGGATAACTTAAGCTCAGCTTTCTCTGATGCCATAAATATAGTCGTACTTATAGCAAAGTACCACATTCATTATACTTTGTAGTAAGAGGAGAGATAATAATCCTTCCTTCCCCTTTTATTAAAGATTTTAAGTCTTACTATTCTTCATTAAGTAGATTAAAAATCTGCAAAACTGCTAGAATCATCTCACAACAGATAAAACTTATTGTTTTAATTAAAACAATGTTTCTCATGAAAAAAAAACTGATGAGCTTGTCAGCAGGTAAGGTGCGTTTACCTTCTGGACAAATTGAGGTCGTCGATTGGTCAGTTACTGACACGCCTTCTGAGTTGATTGACAGGTCGCGCAGTTGAGGATCGATTGGGGAAAAAAAAAAACAGAGCTGCAGCAGCTGGGAGCAGGCGGGGCTGCACAAATGCAGTGGAAGCACAGCAGTTTGTGCAGTTCAGGGCTCCAAGTAAAGCAGGAGATAACCAGATATTTTGCTTGTGCCCTCACTGCCCTGGGCCCCTTAGAGATCATGGGCCCCTTAGAGATCATGGGCCCCTGGACAGTTGCCCATATGGTTAATCTGGCCTTGAGTAGCAGTCAGTCAGGAGGTTCAGTCAATCAGCTGTGGGTCATCTGCTGCTGCCTAATATCAAATTATCAGGAGCCTCTTGATGTAAAAGGAGACAAACCAGTCTAGAGCCTCTCTGCTCCTTCAAGTCACTTCTTGGATGAACATTCATTACTGCAAGCAGCTGTGTTGGAAATCTCTCGGTATATTTATCTTTTTTTAAAATCTATTAATGAATGAATTGATGTTGTGAAGAATTCTGTCAAAACTTGTTTAAATAGCTTGTCTTCAGTAATCTGCATATGTACATCTTTTACATTTAAATTGCATCTGTTTGTATATTTTACACATCTGGTAATGTAGGACATGGAGGAGGGGAGGAATTAAATCCCTTGGTATCGGGGGCTGGGCGCTTGGGCGTGTGTCGGCTCGGCCTGGTGTCTGCCTGGTGGGGCTCGGGTCCTCTGGCCCTGTCAGGCCTTGGCCTGGGTGGTGTGAGTCCTCGGTGCCCGGGCCTCGGTGCCTGGACCTGGACCTACATCGGTGTGGCGGGTGCCGACGGAGGCCTATGAGTTTGTCGCTGTTGGCCCCGGGGGGTCACTGTATGTGGTCGCTGGTGGGGATCTTCCGGTTCTCCCCTGTGGTCCCTTCTGGGGGGTGGGTGGGTGGTTCGCCCTGTGTGGGTGGCTCTGGGGGCTCCACGGTCGGGGTCCCTCCTGGGGTCTTGGGCTCTGGTCCCCCCTTTTTCGTCTGCCTCTGGTCTTGGGGGTCGGGTCTCTGCTGCTTCACAGTTACTAATAAATGTTCTATTAGAGAAGCCTTATACACTTATGCATGCTCACAACCACACACAAATAGAAGCAGGGATGTTTATGTAGGCTTTAGATGTAGATATATAGATATGTATGTGAGTGTATATTCATGTGTATGTATGTATGTATGTATATAGGCGTAGG